TCTATATAAACTTATCTAATTATATAGATATAAATTCTTTTAAATTATTAAATTAATGGATCAATTTTTTTGTATTGCTGTTAAAGTGATTGCTGGATATTAATTCACTTATGCCTTTCATTCAAAAGAAATGAAAACAATCATGGGCGTGATTGTGATTTGGAATATCAAGTTATTAATCACATTTCTTGGACATGTCTAAACTTAATTAATGAATTTGGAACCTAGTTATTGGAATCATTAATAATATTAAAATATTTTCATTATTATCAATTATCAGATTAATTACAACTAAAATATTAAAGCAATTAATAATTTAATAAGGCACTTAATTAATAATAACGCGAATTAATTTATAATTGAATACCTTCATTTATAATAATTTTAAACAGTCTATTGCCTAAGGCCTAAAGGGATCTCTTTTCCTTAGATTGTCCTTTGATCACATAATTGGGAACCTGAAGTCTTTTTGCTTTGTGGGTTCAAAACATTGGCAAAATCTCTAGTATAACCTCAAACTCAGAACAAAATGTTAATCGAATTGAGGCCTTTGCTCCCTGAGGAGGCTATTCATTGGTGATCTGATATTTCTGTAACTCTATATTTGAGTCGGAAAACCAAAAAAAGAGAAAATCAGAAGAAGATTGGCCGCATGAGTATGATCTCCTTCTTATTAATTCGTGGAGTAATACCTACCATGGAATACTGGTCAATCTCAGTGTTATCAATCGTGATTAGCGTTCTCGTTACTTATTATCTGTTCAGAAAGTTTAATTTTTTTAAAAGAAATGGTATCATCCACATACCATCTATTCCAATACTAGGTGCCATGGTACCAATTATATTTCGCCAAATGTCATTTGTCGATTTCACCAGAAAAATATACAATTTTAATCGAGACGCAAAATACATTGGATTTTACGCTACAACGAAGCCTGTTCTTATGCTCCGTGATCCGGAAGTGATCAAGGATGTTGTCATCAAGAATTTCGACACATTTACCAATAATCCCGCTTTAGCTGATACTAATGACTATGTGCTTTCACAGAATCTGTTTGGCCTACAAAACGCAAAATGGCGACACGTAAAAAATCTACTATCTCCGTTCTTTACGTCTCATAAGCTGAAGACTATATTTACTTTGATGTCGAAACATGCTGCGGATTTTGCTGAATTGATGTTAACACTGCCAGCGGATAAAAGCGACGTTAATATGAAAGATATCTTCGATAGATATACGAACGATGTCGTTGCCTTATGTATTTACGGAATGAAGATCGATTCTATAAGAAATCCGACAAACAAGTTTTATGTTTGTGGCAAAGATATAACTTATATGTCAGCAATACGCAGCATAAAGTACATTTTTATTAGAACCTTTCCAAAGCTTGGACGAATACTCAATATAAAATTGTTAAATAATTCAGAAATGAAGTATTTTGAGAGTAGGATAAAGAACGAGATTGTCATTCGCAATGCTGAGCATGTTTCACGTCCGGATATGATACAATTAATGTTGGATAACAGAGGTAAAGAGGGTCAAATACAATTGGATGTGGACGATATTGTCGCGCAAGCCTACGCTTTCTATTTCGCTAGCTTTGAAACTACTTCAAGCGTGATGTCTTTTATAACATACAAAATCGCAACTAATCCAAGTATTCGGGTCAAATTGCGACAAGAGATAGATGAGCTCTTGAACGAATCGGACGGAAACGTAACTTATGAAGCTGTTAATAAACTCAAATATTTAGATGCAGTAATAAAGGAAGCTCTCAGACTATTTTCACCTTTTGTTGTGGAAAGAGTGTGTGGAAAAGCTTATAAATTGCCACCTGCATTGCCGGGCGAGAAGTCTTTCACTATAAACAAGGGCATGATTATTTGGATTCCGTTGTATGCGATTCATCATGATGAAAAATATTACGATAATCCTGAAGAATTTCGCCCAGAAAGATTTTTAAATAATGATCAGGACAATAATTATCGGTCTATATTTTATTTTCCATTTGGATTAGGATCGAGAATGTGCATTGGCAGAAGATTCGGTTTGTTGATGATCAAAGTTGTGCTATTTCATTTATTAGCACGATGTGAACTGAAACAGTGCCCCAAAACATCGTCAATTAAATTCAGCGAGAAAAATCTGCTAATGATGCCGAAGGACGGATTTTGGTTGAATATTCAATATAGAAATGACAAATTCGATAGAGATTAGAACTCGATAGCGTTACTGATTCCTAGAAGTTTAATTTCTAGAGAATATCCTAGAATATAAATTCTTACAATTTCAACAAGAAGTTATTATTCAATAAAAAAAATGTTTGTAAGTATATTATTTATTCATATAACAAATCAAACTAACCAAGACTCTTTATAAATCAAAGAATTGGAAAGAATACGGGCGTTAGGCGTTAGGCGCAGAAAACGTCGCGCAAATAATACACTTATGAAGCTTGAAACTTCTTTATTTAACAAACAGTTAACAAACGCGCTTACATGTCTCGGCTCATTTTTTAGCCTTCCTCAGAGCAAACACAAACTAACATATATAAAGTAAAAGCTATCCTGTCATTGTGAGCTCCCCTACATCGAGAATTTATATGCCAGAATTAAACAAAAAGAAAGAAAAGGAAAATGAAAAAGAAGGGAAATATAAAAAATGTCGAATTAAAGAATATAGAAACTAATGTATCAAAAGGTATTCATAGTCTATTCTTCTCATTTAAGACTATCTTAAGTACAATTTTAAGATGTCATAAGTCAATCCGAGGCTGTATTAGCATAATGTCTTAAGACATTATTTAAGATTGTTTTAAAATAAAAACGAACTATGAATATCGCTCCATGTTTAGCGTTTCACAGTTGGCAGCCTTTTCCCCTGACGCGACATAGACAGAAACGGCGGAGATTTAGAGATAGATGCTTGCAAAGTGAGCACACCATGTTATCCCTTCCACCATTGGTCATCCGCGCGCCGTGCGATCGGTGGGCTGTATCTTTGGCAATAGTAGGTTGGGCGGACGCGCGTATTCGACTATCTTTAAACGTTAATATCTCGTTATCTATTGTGCAAAGTGGTACAAGACTTTTCATCAGTTTAGTCCGCTCTACCTGCTCAAGGCGGGTGAGGCCGAAATTTGATGCCACTCTGTATATACTACACTTAACTTAAAACCGAAACCGTGTTAAATGTTACCGCGTAATTATTTAGAGAAGTTTGTAATAATGTCTGTACGTATCGTTTGATATGGCGACTCCCGATTGCTTTTTTAAAATTTTAGATTAATATAGCATCAATAGAAATGTATTTTTTTTTACACTTTTATCTCTTTTTGCTTGTGCACGCTCTCTGTACCTTCCTTTTCTCTATTACATACGTGTCCATAACGTTTATTAACGGTTTATTATATTAATTCTTTATAATTAATATTATTTGAATCTTTTTTAAGCTTTCAATTTAAAAACCTCTTTCTTGCATTTAAAATGTTTTTATTTAATATTTAATTTTTTATTTTTATTTTTGCTTGTTTTATTTCATATTTTTAAAAGCAATGCATGTGCATATGTGTATGTATAGGGTGTTGCACCACCATACAGGTCAGTATGACGGGTTGCCCATTCGTGCAGGCGCGCGAGATCGTTCACAATTGGAAATACTGACCCGTATGGT